GGCCCCCAGCCGGGGCCGTGCGTATGGTCAGCAGCAGCGGGATGTCAGCGAGGTGATGTGCACCTGAGCTGCTCCCGCATTTGTGGCGGGGAGGAGGATTTTGTGAGAAGTTTTGAAATTCCCAGCAGGTGGTGACACTTCAATGGCTGCCTAATCCCACGGCGCAATAACGAAAATAATTAATCTCTTTTCCGACAGACAGATGAAATATCTCACGTTTGCAGAAACGTGGCAGATGGACACTTCTTTTTTTTTGTGCTGCTTGGCCGCTTCCTCAAGTGAAAAGTAGGAAGAGCTCGGTGACTTAGGCTGGAGCAGCTCTGAGCACCTGATCGAGCTGTAGGTGTCCCTGTTTGTTGCAAGGGAGTTGGAGCAGATGGCCTTTAAGGGTCTCTTCCAACTCAGATGATTCTGTAATTCTGATTCTATGACTTCCAGGATCTGTATCTCTGGGCTGCTTCACTGTCAGCCACTCATGCATAATACAACTGTGCAAAAAGCACTGCAATACTTTCACTAATAGACAGCAGTTATGGAGATTTGATTTTCATCTGGGACTTTGTTTTCCCTCTTACATTCTGGCAAGGGTGACCTAATTGCAGCCTTTCAGTACCTAAAGGGAGCCTACAAACAGGAGGGGAGTCAACTCTTTGAAAGGGTAGATAACAGCAGGATAAGGGGAAATGGTTTTAAGTTGAGGGAGGGAAGATTTAGGTTGGACATCAGGGGGAAGTTCTTTACAGAGAGAGTGGTGAGGTGCTGGAACAGGCTGCCCAGAGAGTTTGTGGATGCCCCATCCCTGGAGGTGTTCAAGGCCAGGTTGGATGGGGCCCTGGGCAGCCTGGTCTGGTATTAAATGTGGAAGTTGGTGGCCCTGCATGTGGCAGGGGGGTTGGAGCTTCATGATCCTTGAGGTCCCTTCCAACCCTGGCCATTCTGTGATTCTGTAATGTTTTGTTCATTTTGAGTTTCAGCAGATAACTTTATTTACCCGAGAGCTCCTGGCTGGGTCCCTCAAGGTGACTGGGACATCTGAGCTGTGATGGGATGAGGTGGGTGAGGACAGGCCTACCTGCTTCTGCAGGAGGGTGGAGTGAGGGCAGGGGCTGCTCTCCCAGGGATTTGCAATGAGAGTACCCCTGGTTAAGGAGAATACAGGCTCTGTTTGATGCACATATCGTCTCAAAGCCTGGGGCTTGTTTGTGGGGTGGGTGATTGATTCCCCATCACCCCTTCTTAACTACAGCACTGGGGGATATGTTGGTGAAGCTGCACACTTGTTAGCTGTGCACACTAGCAGTGATAGAACCATCCAACCTGCCTAATAACCAGTCTGCTCTCTGGCCTTTGGTACTTGTGGAAAATGCACTGGAAGTCATAAATCCAGAAGGTTTTGTTGTTGTTATTGTAAAAGCCATGTGCCATCCAAAGTGATCATAAAATAGTGTGACTTTGGTTCTTGCACAGTTCCTGATACTGCAGTGCCTGGCAGTGGATTTGTTGTCCTAAAACCTCTGTCAGACAGCAGAGTGCAGCTTCCAGCAAGGGGCTGTGCCAGAGGAAAGCTAAGTGATAAGACTAAGACCACATAGAATAGAATAGAATAGAATAGAATAGAATAGAATAGAATAGAATAGAATAGAATAGAATAGAATAGAATAACACAGAATAGGCTAGGCTAGGGTAGAGTAGAGTAGAGTAGAGTAGAGTAGAGTCATGGAATCATTTGAATTGGAGGGGACCCTTAAGGGTCGTCTAGTCCAGCTTCCCAGTGAGGAACAGGGACATCTAAGGGACATTTGTGGCAGAGGAAGGACTCAGTGTTTTCCTGGCATTTGTGCTACACAAAGACCTCTCGGTCTTCATCTCCAAGGCCTTTATGGCTTATGTCCTCCTTATCTGCCATTTCCAATTCCTTTGGGAGAGGAAGTCTTCTATTTCCAGTTGGCCCCTTATACTGTCTCTCGGAGCAGAAAGCATCTTTTTGTGCTGCTGAGCCTCTGCTGCTCTCACACAATGGAGCCTCAGTCCCTGCTTGTCCACCAGAGTAATAAATTAAAAAAGCCAATTATTCAAAGTCTGATAGTCTTCTCTGTTCCATCATTTTTCATCTCATCAAGCTGATGAACTCGAGGTAAAAAGATCTGCATAGAGAAGAAACCATTTAAGATACGCTGTCCGTCTTGAAAAGCAAGATTTTATGTGAGTACAAGAAAGGGAGCAATAGTAGAGCAGGGGGCAGGAGGCAAGGACGTGGGGAATTTTTAAGCAAAGGAGAAAAGAGAAGAGTGCTAGGGAGAAGATGGCTGAGGGAAAGCTGAAGGGGAGAAATGTGAATCAGGTGCAGAGGTCAGTGCCATGTGTGCACAAAACTGAGATGGGGAGGGAGAGAAAGTCTGACAGGAACAAACATACGGGGGAAAAAGAGTGAAGGGAGAGGGGGAATGCAGTGCAAGGAATGGGTAGACAGCCAGCTTTGTGCTGGATCAGGGCTCTGGGGCTTTGCAGGGGCTGCAGGGCTACACAGGGCTCAGACAGGGCCCAGCCCCGGCATAGGCTTTCCCAGGCACCTGGGTGAAGTCCCTGGAAGTCGGTCTTAGTGCTGGTTCAAACGCTCATCTGAGCTTGGGTGTTGCCTGTGCACCCTGCCAGAGCCTTTTCCTAAGCAAACTGAGATAACACAGATGAAAGGGTAAAAGGGAAGAGGGCTTGTGGTCTGGTTAACGGAACGCCCAGAAGTGCTGGGCTGCGTCCACAGACGTGGTCAGAAAGAGCTTCCAGCCTGCACAGTTTCTGGTATAAATACAGCGCAGGGGAATGGGAGGAGAGGAGCGGATTAATGCTGCAATTTGCTAACATGGTGCATCTGATGGAGGCAGGAACAGGAGCAGAAGTCAGGTCTCCTGTGTCTCCCTCCAGTGCCCCATCTAATGAACCACGCTGCTCTTCCATCTGTCAGCCTGACATGTGTGAATTAAAATGTATGGCCGCTGTCTCAGGAGAATTCTCCCGCTCAGCCTTCTTTCTTTCTTCCCTAGGATGTGTTCTTTCTTCTGTCGCTTTGTTTCTTCCTGCAGTGTGTCACTTGTGAGGCTGCAATTAGGATTATTTGGATTTTACCTGCTGGTATGTGATGGTCTAGAAACGGTATTTGTGAAACACATTTGAGAAATACATAGTTGGGAAAGCTGGAGATGGAAAGGACTCGTTGAAGCTTTCAACACGGCAATGACTGTTGCCCACAAAGCATCTTTCTTCCCTCTTTAGTGCAGTGAAATTTCAAGCAGTGCTGCTTAATTTCTGCTGTTTTCCTTAAGTGATTGTGCCACGGCTCTGCCAGCAGCCTGCCTCTGTCTGGAGGCAGGAGGTTTGTCTTCTGGTAATTTACAGCATATCAGATGTGGGTGTTTGGGGTATCGCTGCTGCTATCTAATTCTGGAGCCTTGTCAGGCCTGTGGGCAGGTGATGATATTCCTCGTCAGTTGGGTTACAGCTATTGCTGCAATGGGCCTGTGCTGAGCAAGCCACAGAAATTATTCTATCCAGCCACTGGAGAGCAAATTGGCGTAAAGACAGGAGAAGAAACTAAAACAATTTTAAAAGCTTTCGAAGAACACATCAGCTGTGTCGTAGGTCAGCAGCTCTAACTGTGTTATTGTTGAAATACCTCATTATTTTTGTGATTCCTGAAGATGCATCTCATCTTTGCCATAGCCAGGCCCTGTGTTTCATGTTTATGTTCTACCATGCCTGCTTCTGTGCCAGTTTTCTCTCATAAAATTAAGTTGTAAACTCCACTGAACAAGAACTTTCCTGCTTGTTTGAGTGATGGTGAGTGCAGTGAGTCTGACTTTCTGACACTTCTTTGCAATACAAAAGAAAGAAATTCTCATATTTTGAGAGTGGCTGCTTTGAGCTAGATTTTCTCTTTGTAGATTCTCTGTGACTCCTGTTTCTGTAGCATGCTGTTGGTTTTGCTGCAATCCTTCACTTCCCTCCTGTTTTATATGATTGTTATGAGACTCGTGATGACTGCTTTAGAGCACATTGAAGTAAGATCCTGAAACATTCCAAAAGGATCTCTATTTTTGTTTGCATAGACAATGCTACAGGAATTGTAAACCTAAAAAACTTTGGAGAAGACAACTAAAAATATACAAATTGGCACTTGGGATCACACAGCTGATCGATCTGAAAGACATAAAAGGCCTTTCAGAGGGCCAGGGAGATAACTTAATGTGTTATATAGAGCCAGTGAGATAACAGTAGATTACTGGACCCGGAAACAGTTTGAATTATGTAGCAGCAATAAACCTCTAGTATCTACACGTGCTGAGGTGAGTTACATTTTGTACAGAATACTTGTTATTTTGCTATCATGAATCCCGGAATTGCCTGGGTTGAAAAGGACCACAAAGATGATCTCGTTTCAACCTCCTGCTACGTGCAGGGTCACCAACCACCAGACCAGGCTGCCCAGAGCCACATCCAGGCCTTGAATGCCTCCAGGGATGGGGCATCCACAACCTCCTTGGGCAACCTGTTCCAGTGTGTCACCACCCTCTGTGTGAAAAGCTTCCTCCTAATATCTAACCTAAACCTCCCCTGTCTCAGTTTAAAACCATTCCCCCTTGTCCTATCACTATCCACCCATGCAAACAGTTGTTCCCCCTTTTGTTTATACTTTCCCTTCAAGTACTGGAAGGAGTCTTGATCTTAATATAAGACATGCACAACAGCAGTTTCTGCAGTACAAAGGTAAATTCTTGTGGCCTATCTTTGTTGCTGTGACTCAGGGGCTGACATCTCCTGAGGGAAAATTTATTCTGCGATGAAATATAGTTGCACTTATCCATTGATCCAATATTAATAGTGGTTGGATAAATGGGAGAAAAATGTTAATTAATGCTTTTTTTTTTTTTTCTTACCAGCTGTAGTGTCTTCCTCCTTGTATTTTATGAAACAAAGTCAATGCAGCTGTAATTTTTAATCTTTCAGGTGTTCTTGAAAAAAGTGCCTGCACTTTAGGACTTTGGAGCTGAAGAAGGACATGAGGAGTAAAAGGACCTGGGATCTCACTGGTCAGAATGAAACAGATGTTGAAAGATTTTTCAAATCTATTGTTAGTAGTGCTCTGTGACTATGGTGAGTATTAGAGCTTACAAGGGAGAACTGTGAGTTGCATATTCATAAAGTGGTTTTGGATAGTGCTGTTTTCATTTTGTCTGCTGAAATAAAATCACAAAAAATCACTGCTCACACAAGCCACCAGTGATATGCCCAGGATGTAGTCAAGGTCTTATGCAATATGTAGGTGGAAGAGACAGTTTTCACGAGCTGCTCCTCTGTGTCAAAGTGGCAGGAACCTTTCCTGCTGTGAATTTGCTCGGTGAAGGAAGCAAGATAAATGAGCAGTTTTCTGTGGGCCTCATCGAGGGGCTGTTAGAAACAGTAGCAGGAGCTCTGCTCTCTTCCGAGATTTGTATTTGGTACATTTAATGCATGTTAGGTGATAGATCAGAGATCAGCTATATGTCTGTACAAAGGTGGGAGGAACCACAGCATACAGCTGGCCATTTCTCTAATAGTAGCTTATAGTGGTTGGATGGAATGTGACCATCTACAGTGCAGGCCACTTCCTGTGATTGAGTGAGACCCCATGTGATGTACTTAACCCACCAATTCAGAGAAAACTTCTGAGGACAGGAGGGGTATTGCCTCCTCTGACTGTGTAAGAATCCAAAGGGTGGGATTCATATTCATTCCATTTTAATCATGTAAAATTAGTCTGAGGCAATCTATTAGTGTTGTTTGAGTAGTTCACACACAGATCAGCACATCTGGAGGGCAGTTACAACCTAACCACAGCCTGAGATTCAAAGGATGAGAAAGCACCTCCTTCTCATCTTCAGCTGCCAATGGAAGTTAGACATCTAGTTTGGGTTAGACAGCTGTAAGACGGTTACAATCTGAGGGGCATTCTGTGCATGGCATCTATCTTTTCTAAGAATGTACTGCACAGAAGGTAGATTTTTAAAGGGAGACAACATATTACATGGCAATTTAGAAATTTTGAAAGTAAGATCCTTAATTTATAAATAATACATTTATTTTCAAAAATTACATTCACAATTTAAAAGTTGTTAACCTCACAGGTGAAGTACATTGCCAAACCATGATAAAGAATTAAGTCATGCACTGTTGAAATATCTATAGCATGGGAAACTGGAAAAAAGGACTGTTTTAATTCCCAGTTATGACATGAGCTGTGATAGTAGTTAGGTCATGCATCAAAAGGCTGAAGATGTCTTACAAAGGAGAGAAATGGACCAAGAAAGTGTGCAGTTTGCTCTTCCTGTATATGTGAGAAAACATGCTCAGCTGCTTGTACCTTTGTGCCTGTTCCATCTCCACTCTAGAACAAGGGATCATGAGAAGACAAAAAGAATTTAGGACTGCCCTCTTTTAGATGAACTCGAGTCTAATAGAAGACACTTGCCCATTGCTTTTAGTACTATGTGTTATTTTAACAAGACAGAGTTAACTAGCAAACTTAAGAATGGTGCACTGAACGGGAAATACAGTGAAGATAAAGGTTGTTGATGCAGTCTAGCTAGCTTCAGAAAAGCCTTCGACGCTGTCTCCAATGGTATTCTTCTAGAGAAGCTGGCAGCCTATGGCTTGGACAGGTACACCCTTTGCTGGGTTAAGAACTGGCTGGAGGGCTGGGCACAGAGAGTGGTGGTGAATGGAGTTAAATCCAGCTGGCAGCCAATCATGAGTGGTGTTTTCCAGGGGTCAGTATTGCAGCCCATCCTGATTAATATCTTTATTGATGACCTGGATGAGGGGATTCAGTGCACCCTCGGTAAGACTGCAGATTACACCAAGGTGGGAGGAAGTGTCAGTATGCCTGAGGGTAGCAAGGCACTACAGAGGAATCTGTACAAGCTAGATCGCTGGGCTGAGGCTGATGGGATGAAATTCAGCAAGACCAAGTGCTGGGTCCTGCACTTGGGCCACAGCAACCCTAGGTAATGCTACAAGGTTGGGGCAGAGTGGCTGAAAGACTGTGTTGAAGAAATGGAAATGGTGGTCAACACTCAGCTAATCATGAGCCAGCAGTGTGCCCAGGTGGCCAAGAAGGCCAATGGCATCCTGGCTTGTATCAGAAACAGTGCAGCCAGCAGGAGCAGGGTGGTGATCATACCTCTGAATTCTGCACTGGTGTGGCCACATCTCAAGTACTTTGTTCAGTTTTAGGTCTTTCACTTCAGGAAAGACAGTCAGGCCTTGGAGCGTGACCAGAGAAGAGCAGCAAGGCTATGGAGGTGTCAGGAGCACAAATCTTGTGAGAAGTGGCTAAGGGAACAGGGGTTGTTCAGTCTGGAGAAGAGGCTCAGGGGAGACTTATAGTTCTCTCCAACTGCCTGAAGGGAGGTTGTGGCAAGGTGGAGGTTGGCTTCTTCTCCCAGCAATAGAACTAGAGTGAATGGCCACAGATTGCACCAGGGGAGATTCAGGTTGGATGTTAAGAAAAATTTCTTCTCTGAAAGAGTGGTCAGGCACTGGAATGGGCTGCCCAAAGGAGGTGATTGAGTTAACATCCCTGGAGGTGTTCAAGAAATGTTTAGATGTTGCACGAAGGGACACGACTTAGTGGGGAAATTCTGGTGATAGGTAAATGGTTGGACTGGATGGTCTTGGAGGCCTTTCCAGCCTTGGTGATTCTATAATTCTATAAAATTAAATTCACTTAACCCAAGAAGGGAGGTGAACGATTGTGATATCCACTGCTTCTTGGTGAGCCAGTCCTGTAGGCATTCACAACTAGTTGACTCAGAGGTAAAAGCTATTATTCCAGAACTTTATAGAGGGTGTGTAGTTAAAAGGTGAGTGAGTAGTTAAAAGGTGCAATTGAACAGCTAAATCTCTGTTGCAAACTTTAACTGTATTATATTTTCCCTTATTTCTAAGGAAGAGTAGTCCATACGTCAGAAAATAACTTTTAGTTTTGTGTATACAAATCTTTGAGTATCATGTATGCATACTTCTTAGATAACTGTTTCCTTCATATGCTTATCTGTATTACACCAAGACTGTGTTTCGAATGTGTTTTAAATGATTAAATATAAATTATTGCAATGCTACAAAAAAAAAACAACAAACAAACCAAACCAAAAAAGGCATACAACAGAACAATATTCTCATTTCTTACTGTTTTTTCTGGTGTGCCTTTTCTTTGTAGCCCTGTGCTATTGGTTGCTGACAAGCCAACGTCACAACCCAAGTTGGCTTAAACACAATTAAAAATAAATAAATATCAGAACAGCACACTCAAATAATAATTCTCACTCTTCAACAAAACAGGGTTTTCCTCTTGATCTTTCTCAGAGGGAGCTCCTGCAAAGACCACTGTGGCATTTGGTTGGTGCCACAGCCAGGCTGCATTCAATGGGAGAAAATTGCAGTGACAATTTAAAATATACAAATTGAAAACTGCCTTGACTGGCTGTCCAAGCAATTGGGGCCAACGTTTGGCTTGTGACAGAGATGTTCACATGCTGTAGGCTGGAGGGCAGTGGAAGGAGCGCGCAGTGGAAGCTGACTTCTGCTGACTGTGAGTGGCCTTTTGCAGAAAACTGTTACATGGAGCACCTAGAAGTGCAAATTTTGTCATTAAATGAAGATGGGAGAATGATTCTGCGACATGCAGTGCACTAGGCAGAACTCTGCAGTGCTGTAAAGGTGTCCTCCAGTAATACTTGCTTTCCTCATTTTCCAAGCAACCCATATGAGGGTTGATGAGAGCTACAAGGCAGACCCCTGGTCTCCCTCCAGTCCTTTCCCGCACATACACAGTGGTGTTATTTCTTCTGGTATGAGCCAGGCCAAATAGAAAACAGTACAAGAGAGTAAGGATGGCAGATTAGTAGATGCAAACATCAGTGCTTTTTATTACCATCTCGCAAATGCTTTTGTTGAAAATTTGAAGCTTGATGTTGAAATTTTTCTTGTTGGGGTTTTGTTATGGTTTGATTTGTTTTTCTCTTAAAACATTTCAGCCAAGTTGAATCTGATCAAGTCCTTTATAGAGAAATGTGTAAGTTTGTTCATGTTTAGATAAAGAAAAACCCAGCAACTCGCAAGCAGTTCACTGGGAAACTTTAACACAGCTGTCAAAACTTCATGATGCTCTGGGACATACTTTTTGTTGCCCGTATGGAGGTTTGCTTGGACTTGGTCCATATCTAAGTCCTTGCAGATGAGTTAGCAATGAAGTTCTCCGAAGGGTCAAACGTGCTCCATGTCCTTTCAGCTCCTCTTGCCAGTCCCACACGATACTGTGCATGCTTCAGCCCAAACCAGCAGATTTCCCCATGCTTATAGTAACAGGCCCTTGAGTTGCATATATTGGGCTCTCCACTCCCTGTGCTGGCATTCTTGTGTTAAAAGATGGTTGTTTAGTTAATGTTTGACAGTTTTCACCTTTATGTCTTTGCCTTGGTTCCTAACACTCTAAACAAGAATAGTGACATTTACTCATCTTTCAGGAGCATTGCAGGGATAAACTCATTAATATTTCTAATACACTAATATACTATGATAAGAGCACAATAGCAGGATCCATGGGGAAAATGAATAATTCTGTGTTATCGAGGTGAATTTTGAGCGGTGCACAGTCAATAATGCATGGGACCACCCAAGGAAGAACAAGAATAAAAGAGCCCTCTGGTAACAAGCACTATCCATCTGCCAAATGAGACAGAATCTTGTGGAAAAAAAAGTAGTATTGAGTCACTCAGATGAAAGACTGACTTACAATACATGTATGTAAGAGTATATACATGATTTATGTATGTAGGCTGTGCATACAGTCTTCATTCAGACATTATGGATGTGGTTAGAGCTGGTTATTTTAACCACATTATAGCTGGTGGATCTTACTAGTGTATGCTGTGCCTCACCCTGACATAAATGGTCTTAGCTGGTCAGATGAATTTCTTCCTGAAACTAATTTTCTGTTGATAGGAAAGTGAATCCAAGGTGACAAACTCAAACTGAAGCTTACAGTGGTAGTTGTCTAGTATTCTGTAAGATGAGTCCTGCTACTCCTAACTGCTGAGTGCTTGCTTTGGCACACGCAGTGTTTTTCCAGCAAAGCTTTCTTTGAGGTAATCTTAAGACATATGTAACAGATTTAACAAGTCCAAGTACTGTTAGTTGATACTACTTATGAAAGGATTGCTTTAACTGAGGTTTTATGCTACCGGAGCACCTTCCACCCAAAACTCAGAAGCCCTTTTCCAGACAATTTATTATATAGAGATGTCTCACAGCACATTCTGTATCTGGAATAGGTGTATGTAGTTCCCATTTTTCAGGTAACCTTTCAATGTCTGAAATCCTTAATTTTCAGGCAACACAGAAACACTAGCTGAGCAGAGAACAGGAATGTGATCTTCCCAATCCAGTGCTTTAGATATCATCTATCCCCACTAGTTACAGCATGTCTCGGGATAATTTGGCAACTTGCACAAACATGGTCATGCAAGAAGTGCATCTAAAAAGACTGTGCCATTTATTATGAAATGATGTCATTTAGACATGTTGCACCACATCTGAGACAAGAAAAGTGCTGCAGTCACCATCACTGTTATTTTCAGCTCTTTCACTCATGTGTCTCTGTGATGCAAATGAGCAAAATGAAAGATTCATAAGACAGAGCAAGAGAAGAGGCTTCAAAAAGCATCATGCAGATTTACTATTTTATTTAATTTGAGGGATATTTTTCATGTTTCTGTATTAAGAAACTACTGTATTTTTATACTGCATTACCACTAAAGAAGGTAGAACAGCTGGCCATGTTGAAGTGGACTTTAAGAATCTACAAGTGAAGGGAAATTGAGGATTTTCATGGTATATCCTTAGAATTGAAGTTTTCTGTAAATCTTTTGTTTTGTTTTTCTTTGAGAAATCTTTTAACCTTCCTTCCTAAACATGTTGCTACAGTGGACTTTGAGCTTTTGCAGATCACATCCCTGCACAAAGGAAAGGTGAGCTATAGCTGCTCTAGCTAGGACCTTTTTTTTGGTGAACTGGTTCATTCACATTTAAGAGTTTAACAGCCATTTCTTAAATATCCACTTTATAAATACATATTTTCTTCTTTATGTTTCATAAGCAGTTGGCTGCTGCTTTGATTCTTAATGCTGTTGTTAACCTGTTTTCCTTTCAGTTCTTGGTGAAGTGGAGGACCTCCTGTTGAAGCACCCAGGTCATGTAGCCTTCAGCAACGACACAGTTTCTGTGGAATACCACTACTACAGTGGTAATGAGACAGCAGAGAACCTGTCCATCCTACTGCTGGATGCCAACACCAACAAGATCATTGCAAGAAAACAGCTTCCAGCAAATCAGTCCCAGGGGATGGTAGAGTTTGAGTGTTTCTATTTCACAAGTGCTGGAGACTTTTTGTTCAGAATGATCTCTCCTAGTGATAACAGCAGTGCTGCTGCAAGCAGAAGAAGAACATCCACCCTCCATGTGGAATGGCCTGTATTTCACATTGATTTGAACAAGACTTCAGAGGTGCTTGGGAGCTCCTTTCAGGTTGGAGTTTTTACAAATGAGCAGTTGTGTGCCATGAACAAGACACTGGTTTCACTAGATGTGATATTCACCAGCACACTTTATGAACTAGGAAGAGTAAGCTCTGATGAGATGCTGGGCATTAGAACTAGCAAAGGAATCCCACTCTCTAGATCCCAGTGGGTAGAGTTTGACTGCCCACATGTTGGTCAAGAAATGTACATCACTGTGTTACTGAAATCATTAGAAACACATTCTGTTATTGCCTCTATGGGACCCATAGATCTTCACAAATTTGGATACAGACTGGTTGTGGCACCAGAAGCAGTGTGCAGAACTTTGGTTCAGGTCTTCATAGTCTCACCACCATGCACTTCTATCAGTGGAAAAGTTGTTGTCTATAAAGAGGCTCTCAAGCATCCTAGTTTGAGAACAGCTTGGCTGTATGAGAACACCCTTCACCCAGGAGACAACAGGACGGAATTTAACTGCACTTTGTTCGATGTGGGGAAGAACAAATACTGCTTTGACCTCTATAATTTCTCAAACCGAAGCCTTTTCCCAACAAGAGTTAAGCAGTGTATGATGATCGAAAGGAATATGGGTTTGTACCAACATTTGTCTTCTTTTATCAAATATCAGCATTCTTTCCAGCCAACTTGGATAATGACAAATTGTATTGTCTCCTATTGCATAACTATTTTTTGGGTCTCCTGCATGAGAAAAAATGAGTTGTAAAGGTAGATGAGAACAAATTGGATTGGACCTGTGTAGGGGCATACATTTAGTAACAAAAGCCACAGTGGTGGCTAGAAACTGCTTAAACCAAAACTGTTCGGGATATTTAAAATGATGTATCTATCTAGCTCCAGTAAAACTGAAACTTGGTCTTCACAGTGATTTAAGAAGGCACAACAGTAGATCAGACCCATTGGAAACATTAAATCTAATCTCTGTACATACAAAGATACTACACTTATATGTCTAGAAGCCAAGTGTCCAACATTGAGAATCCATCTAGCTGTTTAGTCAAGAGAGACAGACATCTCACAAGGGTGATTCATCCCTTATAAAAATAGGTATAGAAGATAAACGGGCTGAGTCCGTGTCTGGCAATCTTTTTTTCTACCATTTGCTATGGGAGATTAAAAACCTACCTACTAGATACATAAATTTTGGTCACGTGAGTCAACATCCAGCTATAGCAACAGACACTTGTGAGTTTTTCCATCACCCTTCCAACCATGTCTCTGCTGCTGCTTAAAAGAGATTGTGGCACATTTTCTAATCAGTAAGGCCACCTGGCAGATCATGAGTCACATCTGTACATCTAAGTTCTTTTCTTCCAAGAAAACACTAGATTCAACAACTAGCTGGGGACAGTCTGGAGTCAGTGTAGTCCTTTGGCCGTGACTAGGCATTCTCCAGGAGAGTGCTGGTTGGCAGAAGCCAAAACCATGGAGTATAAGTCATCACAGTTAAGGAGTGATCATAAATAGGGATGAACTTGGGCCGTTCCTCAGTCCTGTCTAAGGAATATCCATACATTCTGTTTATATCTGTACAGTGTATGTAGATGGACCTTCTTAGTCATTCAGGGGTAGTAGTCCATGGTTTGGCATTGTCCACAAATCCCAGTAGCATAGCAGAGTAAGACAAATGCATTTTTTTCCCTAATTTGTAGAGGGCAGCCATAGCGAGGGATGGGCTGCATGTACACGAGGGGATAGGAGTTGGGTTAGGCTGTGTTTCCCACATCCTGGAACAGAAAAGTAAATGTTCCGAAGGCTTGGTGCAGGCTTGTGTCCATAGGTAATGAATTAATCTTTCCCATGAGCACACTTCAAAGAGCTTGGCTTGAAAGGCTGGAGATATATTCTATACCTCCCCACCCTGGTCTTCCTGAGAAGGAAGTGCAGGATCTGAAGCCAAAAAAGGGTCATTGCACTTCCTGGGCAGGTCTCTGAGGGGATAATTGGGCCAGGAGCATGGAACATGCTCTATAGCATGTGGTCCAGGCACAAGCTACTTTAACAAGGCTTCTAGCGTTGTGTGGTTTTACTTCAGGCTATTTCACAAATTCTAAAACTGTTAGCCCTTTAATTAGCAACCTGTACTAAGAATGACCTCTGTTTTCACCACATGCCAAATGTGGTACGTAGTTCTCTTCTGCTTAACTTTCCAACTAGATTCTCTGTTGGCACTCTCTCTCTTTGGCACAAGAAAGTCCGCCTAAAAATGAAAGCGTTTTTCCTTAATCAAGGTAATTCTCAAGGAAAAAGGAAGAGAGAATTCTAATTCTCCTTCTGTGCTTGGGTGGTATTTTTATGTCACACTGATACTATCTAGCTAATTACCCAGAGAGATGAATATGCAGGATATGACATAGCTGTGCTGCTGTGTCCAATATTTGACCATTTTAATTGGTGAAATCCGCCTTAGGCAACAACTCCCTGCAATTTGCTTTGGTTCCTGGGTTGCGCGGTAGCACCATCCTGATGACTGCAGTCGAAAGAATCAGGCTACCTGCGTGCAGAACGGCTTGAAGTCAATAGCTGGCAAGTTAGGAGTGTCACATCCACAAAGCCGATGAAAGCGTAACCACACCGCATAGCCGTAAATAAAACGTCAAACTGAAATTAATTAGGCGGCAGCACATCTGTCTTCGTGTCTGTGCAACTTCAAAGCCTCCAGGCAGCGTTGAGAGGAGCGGGCTGTGCTTGGAGCAGCGCGTCAGCCTGAAGCCACGGCACGCAGAGCGAGCCTGCAGTGCCAGAGGTGGCTGCCGGCCTCCTGACCGCCTCACAAGGCCCTGTCCTGAGCCTCTGGCCCTGAGGGAGGCAGAGTGAGCCTCCGCTCCCAGTGATGGCAGCCAGCTGCTTCACGAGGCCTTCTCCAGAGCCCCTCACCGTGCCTCATTGCACTGTAGGTAGACTTGCACCCCTGATGGCTCTGCATGTAAAAAGTGCTTCTCTACTCAGATCACTGATATCCTGCCTCGTGCTTCTGAACTTGCTCAGTTTAAGGACAATTAAATCATTGACTGTGGTCTCCTGTGCGGCGCGGCCCATTGCAGTCATGCAGTTACGCTGGTAGGGAGCCCGCAGCCAGTCTGTGCATGCAACTGCTGCTCATCCTCTGGAGCCATCCAGGCACCACCAAACAGAGACCCTTCTGGTAACTTCTCTCAACACTGTGCTCTGATGTAAAAGAAGAAAGGATGTGACATGTGGTTCGTAATGAAGCTCATCTAGCTTCATCCTCTAGTGACTGGCTCTTCTGCTGCTGCTCTCTGCTAGACTAGGCAGCTGTTTCCTATCCATTGTATTCCCCTGCAGAAGCATTTGCACGTCCAAGTTGTGTCAGTCCTTCCAGATAATCTCAGTGTTCTTTTTAATAAGCTGAAAAGATTGAGTCTTTAATTGGAAAGCATTTTTCTTCAGGATTTAATTAATTTTCTGGCTCTTTCTGCCTCCATTTCCTTTTTTTTTTTTTTTTTTTTCCAAACAGTACTTTTAATTTCACTACACAGGCACCGACTGTGGTGCCTTCTAACATCCTCCTCACCGATGCAGTTTGAGCAGCAACACTCTCCTTACCCTGACTTATTGCTCCTCACTTTTTAATTCCACAGATGGCGTTAGCTTTGACCTGGCGAGCGCCTCCCAAGCTGTTCTTGCATGCAACCTCTTAGTTACAATCTACCATTCTTCAGCTACAATTTCTGTGCTTTCTGCCTACATTTTGCATTTTGCTGAGTTTACTACTTAGCTGGCAACCTCCATTGCCCCATGCACTGTGTACTTACGTCATCACAGTAGTGACATATTTTCTCATTAACGATTTTATATTTACTTTCCTGTCACTGAGGCAAGCGTACAGAACAAAGCATTATACTAATTCCTTTGAAATCTCTCCAAATGCATTCCCACTCGGTGATGATTTTCTGTTGACAACTGCATATCAAATCTGTCGCTCAGCCAGTTCTTACTCCATTTAGCATACAGTCTATTATTATGAAACAAAGGTATTGTCTCGTAAGAGATGAAAGATCCGAAATCATTAAAGGTATCTTCATCCAAACCACAGAAGATGAGATATAGTTTATTTTGCAACTACCCATTTTCCATAGGTCGGGCATCAATTGTGTTCCTGACCCTTCTTCCATCCATCTCATTACTCCTCATCCTTGGCAGGGCTCGGGCAGCCTGTGGAGCAGGAGTCTGTCTGCTTTGTGCCTGCAGTAGGGACAAGGTTCCTGGTGACCTGTAGAGAGCAACAGCTCTTCCAGCAGGAGCCATCAGCTTCAGAGCAAGGGTCACAAAAAAGCCCCTGCTTTCCAAGGCTCTGAATCTTATTAGATGTGGGGAGAATGTCTATCAAATGTGAGCCAGTGCTTGTGAAACTTTCTGTAGACTCCAGCTGGAGAACCTGTGAAAAAATAGGAGAGATGAGAGTCACTTAATTCATCTCAGTGGGGTGCTGACTGTTTCACACAGATGACTTAGAGAGAGTCATGCAGCTAATATGTTCCCTGCATCTGACTGAATTGTTTGAATGTCTGAGAAAGAAAAGTGCTAGATGATTTTACCCAGCAGCAGAAGTGCTGCAGGCTCATTCATTTCAGTGTGTTATCCTGTATTTTACACGGTTAGATTCTGAGCCCCCAGCAGTGAGACTTCTGCTCTCCTTAGGAAGATATCCTAGATCCTAGCCAGTGTCAAGCTGGAGTCATTTGGGATACCTGATAAAATTAATCAGTAGTGCTACAGCATATAAAGGGACATGCTTTTTGTGTATTTCCAGCCTTAATTAATTTTTTTTACAGTTCTTAGTTACACTTCTGATGCCAGTTTCAACTCTGATCTAAGTCCTAGTGGAGCCTATTGCCTTTACTGGGATGAGTCTTGTTACCTTCTCTGATATTTGACTTCTTCTAATATCCAATGAAGCTGTTGGGAGGCCCCCAGGGCACGAGAAGTACAGCTGTTGCTCTCAAAGGGAAAGCAGAAGGTGGGAAAAGACCTTCTGAAGGAAGCAGTAGTTGGTAAACAGGGAGTATGTGGAGTATCCAGAAGTCAGACAAGGATACAAGACTCCCATCAACTTCTTGCTCCCTGAGTAAAGTAGTATGAATCAGACCTGCCTGTTATCTGTAGGAAGATCTGGGAACCAATTAGCTCTGTTGCCTGAATTGCTCTTTGGTTTGCATTTATTTAGAAACAGACTAATTTGGGGAAGCACAGTTTGTGCCCCAGTCGGCTTCTCATGCTGTAGAGTTCTAAATCTACATATCCCCAGCATTTTAAGAATACAGGTGTTGTGGAGTCACTGGGATAGCTCTGAGCTTCTGAGAAGAGATTTTAGGCAATGCTCCTGTGGTTCTTAAAGGTGCTGGTTTGTGGGGAAAAGTCTGTAATTAACCCAGGCAGAGTCTAGGTTTTCTTCTTTTACAGGGATCATCGTCCTTTCATTGTCCAAATTAGAAACTTGTTGGAGCATGCCACTATGTCAGCTCACCCAGGCTTTATTCCCATAGAGAAGCACGGGATGGGTGAGAAGGATGTTTTCCCAGGTCTCATCCAAACACCACTGCGCCTGGTCTCAGGACCTGGAAACTGATCTCAGCTTCCACAAGTAGCCTGCACTCCCCCAGGCTAGCAAAGGCATTTGCGTGAACCTGTAAATAGTGATTTTATCCCATATTACTGGTCTTGCTGGAGAGCTTAGGGCAACCACATATGTCAGGCTGGGAGGGTGATGCAGAGCATTCCTCGCTGACTCGGCTTTTGGATAGCATCGCACACAGTCTCACGGAATGAGGGCAAAACACAGAAGTTTGAGGGGAGATGCTTCTGCAGAGCAACAATTAACACAGTTAATTGAGTTTATCTTTCATGTCGACAGATCTGCCAACTGTCAGCTATTTCAAACTAACTCATCAGTGAGATGTCTTCATGTTGATAATTGATTCCTCAAATGCGTATAGAAAAAATTCACACTTATTAGAGCTAGTTTGCACTACATACCTTCTGGTTTTTCCCCTGGCGCTTTGGATCTGTTTGTCTTAAATGGAGGTTAATTATTCTGTTTCCTTGGGGGAGAATAAACTCTGCTTCATTTTCTTTTGCATTCTGGTAATTGCAAGAGCAAGTTGCAGGGTTTAATTCTCTGTCTCTCACAGGGGCTGAGCGCTTCCTGCTCTCCTGCTGCTGCAGGCACACATTCGTAGCCCCAGAGCTATGGATGCCAAGTGTGGTAGCTAAGGAACTCCGTGCCCTCAGCTGAAGCTGAACTCCATGAAAAGAGCCTCAAAGCAATGGGCATGTCATGGGTTTGACATCAGAATTAGAAAATTACCCATCCTAAATGTTATGTACGTTGAAGCTCACAGGCACAAGTGTAGAGGCTGTTGAGCACCCTCCAGTATCACAAGTGGCAGCACTGGAAGCAGCCAGAACCTTTCTGGATCTGGCCCTCTATCTGTTGTTAGCAGAAGCTAAAACGAGCAGGGAGTGTGGAGACAGGGAAACAAGCGAGCTCATGCACTGGAAATGATGGGACTAATTTATCAAGCTATTTACATAAATTGATCTGTAAGGAGCTGTGTTTTTCTCCTGCTCATCCCCCTCCTTCTGCCAGTGGTAGGACACTGCTGGGGTCCTTCATGACACTGACATCAAGAAAAACGTCCTGAGACCCCAAGGTACTATGACACCATGAAGTGCATTGGAGAAGGGACTCTTTGACTACTGATGATGGCCATGCTTTCCTGCTTCCTTCACTGATACCTGCTCATAGCTGGTGGGGCCAGGGTGTGTTTGTTCAAGCTTTGGACCGTGAATATCTCATTGCTGCTGTAGGGTTGGAGGCAAATACAGAGATCCCTTGGCTTCACGTTGACCTGGAGCACAATGCCACCAGGCCCCTCACTGTTCCTCCCTGTGCTCCACAAGGCCATGCAGATGTACTGCAGCATGTATGGATATAGCATGAAATCACAAAGCCACTTCCAGTCACAAAGCACTGACAGTTGTGCAGCATTGGATGTTGTTCAGTGATCAGGAGCGCTGAGGCATTCCAGCAGCAGAGCAACTGTGTAAGAAAATTAAATATCATGACCTGGGTTGGCACTAGCAACCATAAATTATTAAAAAGAGCAAGCTTTAACAAATCCAATTTGCTTTTTGTAATTTATCTGACTTTCTGTTTTATCTCTGAGCAGGGAGATGGAGTAATTGCTCTGTTGTTTTTCTTTCTAATGCATTTTAAAGACAGGTATTGAGTCAACTGACCAATCAGACAGTCTCCAGAGTACTTATCCTTAAGGCTTGCACTTGGACTCATCTGTTATTTTGGAACTGAAAGTCAGAAACGGTCCCTTTCTGTCTCAGGGTCCTCAATGCTATAAAGTTTGGGTGTTGAGCACTGGATGAGGATGTTACCTTAGCAAGAAAGGGTTTGCACTGAAGTACTGAGTTAGCATTAGAACGTGAGCCTCCTCCACTTAAACAAAATAAATAAACCTGCAAAATCTCATCTTGCGTTAATGGCTGAAGCACGAGAAATAAAACAACAGGGATCTGTAAAGCTGTCAGATGAGCAATTCAATAACATGTTTGTATGTTAAGAGGGTTGTAAAGAGGAAAAACAATATTGCCTTTTCATTAGGCATCGTAGGCTTCTCCTCCTTTCACAAGTATATAAATCAGGAGTAACTACACTTAAGTCAATGAAGTTATCCTGCTGTAAAAGCAGTATTTGTGAGATAGGAATTGGACTCACTAATATATAAATTACTAAGCCATTAAAAAGATTTGTGGGTTAATTTCCATTTGCTGCTGTTTCAAACAGCTCCTGCCAGCCTCAGTTAGCTGAGTGCTGCATAGCATGGGGCAAAGAAAGGAAAGCAAAAATGGGAGCTTTGCCCTAAGCTGGTGGGAACGGGAGCAAGTCCCTGGATGCTGCTTGCTCTTTTGGTGTTGCAATTTGCACTGCTTGGTTATTTATTGCTCTTCTTAAATAACAGAGGATAGTTAAATGCCTTTCTCCATATGGACAACGAGCTAGGTGTGTTTCTCATTGCTGTGAGCTTGTGTGTTTGCAGAAACATGGAGCCCGTGGCAGCCCTGGAGCCCCTGCAGCGTCACCTGTGGAGACGGCATCCGGGAGCGCTTCCGAGAGTGCCTCACCTCCTCACCTGTGAAACCAGGCTGTGCTGGCTCCCCAAAGGAGACCTCCTTGTGCTCGCTAGAGGAGTGTCTGAGTACGTAGCTCTGCTCTCCTCTTCCTGTGGCCTCATGTTGCAAAAGCCAGCAACATATAGTTAGGAGGGTTTTGTAAAATGAAAGTGTCCAAACTCTCCTTCAGACCTACTGATTTATGGAGGGATGTCACATTTCTGTGGTTGACAGGAGCATACCTTTGTTTGTGGGACATCTAGAGATTGGGCTCCAAGACTTCTGCATGCTGGGGATGCTACGGAAGTGGTTTAAAATGTGAGTTTTAGGGACGTTTAGTGGGCATGGTGGTGATGGGTTGATGGTTGGACTGGATGACCTTAGCAGTCTTCTTCCAGCCTTAAAGACACTGTGATGGCTGAGGGTTTGGAGAAGGGCTTCAGGAAAGATTTCAGGGCAAGGGGAACAGGGGAGCAAAAGTTGGGTTGGTCTCTTCTCACTGGTGACAGATGACAGGACGAGGGGAGATGGCCTTAAGTTGCACCAAGGGAGCAGCAGCCAGGGGAGATTAGTTTCTAAGTTGGATATCAAGAAACATTTCTTTACATAAAGGGTTGTTAAGCACTGGAATAGGCAGCCCAGGGAGGTGGTTGAGTTATCATCCACAAAACCATGTGGATGTGGTGCTCAGGGACATGATTTAGTGGAGGGTTCTTAGAGTTAGGGTAGTACATTAGGTTGTGGTTGGACTTGATGGTCGTTGAAGCCTTTCCAACCTGAACAATTCTATGATTCTATATCTGGTACAATATATCAAAGACTATAGGCAATGGAAATCTAATAAAAAGGTAATTTTCTGGCTTGCAACTGGAGGAATTATTTATTTTTTGAGTCCTTTGGAAAAATCTACTGCCACAATGGAAGATGTCTGTAAAAGAGCTGGAGATATATGTAATACATAAAATGTGTGGTATGCTGGGATTCATGAATCTGCAGTAGTGGGTGCTGGGAAGTTCTCCAGTGCCACCTGCACAGGACCTTGTGGTTTTAGCAGTGTATGGGACTCTGCCATATTTCTGCTTCTTGTGTTGCTTCATAATCAACTTTCGAATTGTCTCTGCTTTAATGGGAGAGATTGGAGGTAGTCTGCTCAGAACCTGACTGATGTAGGAGATACAGAGTCCTCATGTTCCATGGGTGCCACTGCCTGGTAGGGGTAGGCAAAGGGGGGCTCACAGGGCCATGCAAGCTCCTGGGCTCTTAGGCTATAATTTAACAGATTACAGCTATAAACTATATATCTCTGTGCTATTATAAAGCGAGCAATGCCTTACTGCTTGCCTTGGCTGCTTCCATGCCACTTAATCCCTTCTGCTGGCAAAAGTGTAGTGTGGAGAACTGGAGTGGATCCAGCTAAAAAGTGGGTAGTCTGGGGTTTTTGTGAAGTTGCATAGCACATGGCCATTGCAATGCTTGTGCCACTGAAGATGGAAGAACAGCAGAGGGGGAAAACATGTAGCCACAGCAGGAAAATGCAGGACTGCTCTTTCGATGGGAGCATTGGCTTGAACCATCTTCAGAAGGTTTGTTGAACATTACTATATTGTTTCTAGAAGGTAGGAAAGAAATGCATTGTGGAGCACTGTAAGAAATGGTATTGAGCAAAAGGTCAGGTGAAAGGAAAAGAAAAATATAAAAATATAAATATCATTACAAATGATATTCCATCTAGCCAGGTTTTGCATTTTGTCAGTCCTCATTTTAGGAGTTTGTTGTTAAGGTTTCTGATGCTTTTAATCACCAGATAAGGCTGGCTCTGTGGATTTTCTTACATTGTAAAGCTGCAAGTGTAAGCAGAGGGGAACAACTCAGAGGGGCACAGTTTGAAGCTAATGGCCTGCTCTAGGGGCAGTCACCTTGTCTGTGCTGATCTCCTTCAGATTGCTGAGGGCAGTAGTGACACCAGGGGACAGCTTGTCTTCTTCTAAAGCTGTCTGATCTCAGCCTGGGATCATTCCTCCACGCTTCCTCAGCTGTCCACACCTGCCCAGAGCTATTCCAGCATCACCATGTCTGCAGTCAGTAGTCCAGCAGATGGAGCAAATGGCTGAATAAGTGGAGAGAAAAGCAAACCCTGGTAACTTAATCCTGTTTCAAACGTCACTGTTTGCTATCTGTTAGTTGCGTATTCCAAATGTTATAGCACAATGCACATTACAGATAGAAAACAGAGTATTTAGAAACTGAGCAAAATGAAACTGAGAAAAGGATGAGCAATTGTTGAATTACTCTGCACCAGTGCTAATGACCAGGTCAAATGCTGGTCCTGCCTTCTCTGCTGGGATCAGAACAGCAGTGCTCTGTGCTCTGGGTGTGGTGGTGCTGGGCTGAGTGTAGGCTTTAGGGATCCTCAAAAACATTCAACTGGCAATGCTGTTGTTCCTCGTGCTGATATTGAGCTCTCAGTGTGGTATGAAGATCAAAGTTTAGTTCACAGCAGGATTTTTCAAAGGTTTTGGGGCTGCCATTGCAGCTCTGAGTCAAAGAAATGGGCCTCCAGCACTCAGCACCCTGCACATCCATTATTGTAGCAGCCGGAGACCTTCTGGGCTGTGTTTGCCTGTACATTTGTACATCTTGCACACTTAATAGCTCACTGCTGAATGAGCGTTTCTGTGGGTTTTAGGCAGTACATTCAGGCTGGTGTCTGCCTCTTATTATTCTGCACACGTTTTGCATGGTGGACAGTCACTGCGAGGCAGGCACGGCCAGATTTACAACAGACTGTCCATGGCTTTGATGCAAGGCTCTGGGTCCTGGATCAAACTAGAAACTGGGACAAAGCTTTAAGTGGTTCAGTCTGTGCTCACAGCTTCATGGCCAGCTCTTCACCACCACAACTGAGCAGCTTTGTCCTCCAGCAGCATTTTCATGGCCTTATGAAGATGTTTGGCTGTAAGAAATTAGGAAATGAGTGCTGTCTGATATTAAAATTAGCTGCTGGAACAGCTTACATGCTTTCAGTTATGCTGTTTTCTGCTTAGGGATGCTACTGAAATGCTGGAGACCTTGTCCAAAACAAGAGTTACTGCTCTCTCAGTGGTTCAGTGTTGTGATGTAACCTTCAGGAAGGAGGTTTAAATGCTATGGAAATCTTTGAGATGTTCATATTTCCAGTTAGCAGAGTATTCTTCATTTTTTGAAGGTCCATCTCCTAGTTCACAACAGAAGTTTTAATGCCAGTATGGCCATGGCAGCAAGGCAATGAAACCTCATTTAGGAGCCTGCTGCACAGGGGGAAGGCTTTGTCGTCTGTGGTTGACAACACTGGGAATGGAAGAAGCAGCAGCAAAGGACTGCTCCGTAAAGTGACACTTCCACTGGTAGTGCTGTCTCTTTTCAAGCTGCAGGGCTCACAAGTTGATAATTTTCACACCCCTTAAGTCACCCTAAAAATAATGTTAAAGTGATACCTGTAGTACTCTCCTGTTATTTTTACACCATTGCATTACTTTTCAGCAGGGGATCTTGATGTACTTTATAAAAGAAGGCAAGTATTATCATCCTGTTTTACGCTTATTTAGGAGTGTCTTTTGGAAAGAGCAGAACAGGCAAAGGTGACAATTACATTTGAATGATCTGTGGGTCCCTTGATTTAAAGTAAGTAGATCTGTTCTCCTGCCAGTTTGAAGTGGGCTGTATTAAGTCATCTGCAGTGAGCAAATCGTATAGGCATACCACTTACTGTACTGTATTAATTAGTTACTCTATTGAAGTATCCATTCTAAAATACCAAATTCTGTTGACAAATATAACTCTGGTGACAGACTGTCCTCTTTGTTACAGCTGTCAAGCCTCCCACCCCACCTTCTGTCCAGCCAGGAGAGGACCAGAAAGCAAACAACATAGTCACCATCACAGGTATCTCCTTGTGCCTGTTCATCATCTTTGCCACTGTTCTCATCACCCTGTGGAGAAAACTCTGCAGAGCTCAGAAGTGCAGCACGGCCATGCGTCGGAACTCCGTCCATTCCCCTGGCTTCCGAAAAAACTCTGATGAGGAGAACATTTGCCAGGGCAACAAGCAGCGAGACAGCTTCACTGAAGGAGGGGATGCCCCTGTTAACATTCCTCTGACCTACAGGCGAAGCCTTCAGTTTGCCCAAGAAGACGATGCCTCTGGAAGTGAGAACTTTCAGCCAAACGCCCAAAAAATAATCCCTCCGATATTCAGCTACCGCCTCGCACAGCAGCAGCTGAAAGAGATGAAGAAGAAGGGCCTGACTGAGACCACCAAGGTGTACCACGTCTCTCAGAATCCCCTCACGGACACGGTTGTCGGTGCCACCACGATGCTTCCCCTGAGTGCAGAATCCCAAGAGGAGGGAGTGGCCAATAAATTTAGGATCAAATCTCCATTTCTGGAGCAGCCAGCCGGTCAGCCCAAATTCCTAGGAGAAGGCTGTAACCCGAGGCTGGATTTTCCATTCTCCCAGGCCAGTGCTGCATTGAGCCCCACCCAGACCTTGACAAGAAGAGCTCATTTCAAACACCCGGATAACAGAGGGGAGTTGTCTGAGAGGGGCTGTCACAGAAACCCTCAGTTTAGAAGAACAGCCAGCTTTCACGAAACAAAGAAGGCCAGGCCTTTCAGAGAGAGAAGCATGTCCACCCTCACCCCCCGGCAGACTCCTCTGTATTCCTCCAGGACCAGGATGTGGGACCATGGCTTGGAAGACAGGACGCGGCCAAAACTGAGAAACACAAACCCAACCTCTGAAAAGCTGGATCAACCCCACGGCGCTGCGCCGATGTGTGAAGCGCAGGGCCAAGGCACGAGAGGCCACCACAGGGCGTGTCCGCCTGTGAAGAAGCTGGACCTGATCGCTGATCGCCAGCATGCCGGTCAGGACAGGGCCCCTGAAAAGCCTGAGCCCAGCAGGAGTAAGCGGGGCCCTTCACCTAACCCCAAAGGTGCGTGGCGGAAGGAAACGAGCTCTGCTGGCAAAGAGAGTTACCAGAGAGGCCTCGCTGTAAGCCCTGCCCAGTACCGAAAGGACAAGTGCCAGAGCTTCCCAGTGGACCCTGAATTTGCCTTCTACGATAATACTACCTTTGGCTTAACAGAGGCAGAGCAGCAAATGATCGATCTCCCTGGGTATTTCGGCTCGAACGAAGAGGACGAAAGAAGTACTTTAAGTATTGAGAAGCTTGTGATCTGAGGGACTCAGTGCAACCTCACAGGAGGGGCATGTGCGGGAGTGGGTCTGCAACACCTGCTGGATTCTGCTGAGAGGAGCAGTGGGAATTATGTTCTTCTGCTTGGAGAAGGAGGGAAATCTGAAAGTCTGACTTGCAGGAACGCATTCCTATATAATTACTAGAAAGTACTTTCATATAATTATTTTTTGTATGTGTGTGTTTAAAAATATGCACATGATACCCTGGGAATGTTCGTATTAGTGAAGGCGTGAGACAGGAGTAATCCACTGGGTTTTGTTGCATAAAACAGTCACCTTTCATGCTTCAGACATAACGAATCCCATTGATCTAGAGATTTTCGTCTCGGGAAAACCTTCTACTAGTAGATGATGATGTCCTAAGAGATCCGTTTTCCAAACATCTGTCCTAATTAGTGAATCATTTCCCATTTAGGAAACACAAACTCCAAGCTGTGAGCAATTTCCATCATTTTTTGTGGTCGTTATTGAGCTGTGTTGATTGGCTGTAATTGCTGAAACATGTCATGTGTTGATGCTTCTCTTTGCTGGTTGGGTAAAAGTGCAAGCAGTGCATATTGCACATTTGAAGAGAAAATGGAGGGGGTATTTTTCATCATTCAGTGCTTTGATATTCTCTTTCTACCAATATTTGTAGCAAGAAAATACAGTGATGTGCAGATATTTGCAGGAGATGGTAGAAAGGAACATGCTGGTTGGAGGAGCAAAGAAAATTATTAAATTGTAGCCCTGAGAAATCTTAGTGGAGTGTTTGAATAGCCATAGTGGGCAGTGGGAGCAGTCTGATTGCCCGCCCATTCAGTGATCATCATTGCCTTTATTGAGCAGTTTATTTTCTGTGTCACTTAATTGACAATAATACTACTACAGCAAGTTCAAAATAAATTATGGACAAACCCAGTGAAGAACATATTTATTTGGTGAATACCTGGTTGGCAAATCAAAAGGAAAAAGGCTTGACAACATCTGTCGATTCCCAGAAAACCTGGAGGTGAAATGCAAAAGTTACATTGGTGTTTTCTTTTTCATGCTTTAAAATCAGGAATTATAAATTGTGATTACACAGTGCTGCAGGAATTCAGAGCTGGGTCGAAACCCTGACTGACAGCAGAGACAGAGCTCGGGCCAGCGAGAATGACTCAGGGTGTTTGCTTGGCGTTCGTTGGAGCAGCCACCTCTTCAGAGTCTGCAGGGACAAGGGGAGTGCTGCTGGGCGCAACCAAGGAAAGAAAAGATGCTGGCAGCAGGGGATGGGATGAGAGAAGGTGGGTTCAGGCAGAGAACTGTCAGTCTTCAAACACCCCCATAAGCAGCCTGATCTGTATGGCAGGGCTCGCTGTGCTGGAAGGAGGCAGGATGTCAGCATTTGGCCGCCAGAGTTGGGCTTCACAGCCGATGGAACATTTTGCAGCTGCTGCTGGAGCTAGGGGCCTGAGTGACAGGGTGCTGAGTGCAGCCTCTTCCCAGAGCTGCTCCAGCACAGCAACGTGTTCCCATCAGCTGTCAGCTCAGTGTGCTGCTTACAGCAGTTCAGAACATGTCCGCGCTTGAGGACCAATCCAAAGCTAATCAAATGTAACTGGTCTTTAAATTGACTTAAATGAGCTGGAAACCAGATCTCTAGAGCAATTACCTCTTAGCTCACTTACCACCCCTGTGCTAAGGTAAACTTGGCTGTGTGAAGCGCATTTGCCCTGAAGCAGTGATCTGTCAGCTTCAGAGCTACAGTGCGGCGAGATGTATTTACAGTCTTGTAAGGCAGGAGACCCTGGAGAGATGGATGATCAAATGTACTGCACAGAAACATTCAGGAAGCCTTAATAAAACCTTCAGTGGGAGGTATTTGAGCTTGACAGTAGCCCTCAGATCAAACTAGTCCTTGTCTAGTGCCATTTTACAGTATTTGTTAAGATTAAAAGGGTTCTGAAACACTCAATAGGGTTTGGTTTAGGTGCTGTGGGGTCCTGCCCAGAGTCTTCTGACTCCTGTGTCTCCAAGCGGCTCCCAGCACAAGAAGGAGGCAGCTCTGCTCTAAGCCAGCTGCTGCTTTCATAGAATCATAGAATGGCTTGGGTTGGAAGGGAATTCAAGGATCATTAAGTTCCAACGGGCCTGCCACAGGCAGGGCTGCCAGCCATTAGACCAAGTACTAGATCAGAATGCCCAGGGCCCCAATCAACCTGGCCTTAAAGCTTTCTGCTGCCTCTTCTCAACATCAGGCTGCCTCCGGTGACTGCAGTGCATGAGGTGGACATCACAAATCTAAAGCATCAGTGAATGAATTGTACTCCCTTCCATCCCAGGCTGACAGATCTTGACCCCATTTTCTGTCTGAGAAAAGCAGCAAAATACCAGTGCTGACTGAAGGCAGTCCAACTATAATGGCTTTGGATAATGGACTCCTGAGGCTTTATGGCTGTTGGAGGATTGGACTGGGTAACAGCTGTAAGAGTAAGCCCTGTTGAGTGCTTCTGCTTGGTTGTTTGGCATCAGATGGGTTATTGGCTGCTCAGCAATCTGTCAAACCTCTAGTGCTGGCCCTTTGGTGGTGTTGCTGATTTCCAGCATGCAGAGTTGAGTTTCACCAGTTGGCTCTTTACTCTGCTTCCCTAGACCTAAAGAATGAAGGCTGAGCATCATATGCCTGCCAGAAGGCCTTAATAAAACCTGAATTTGTTCACATTTCTCTGTGCCTTCTGCCTAAACAAAAATTGCCCTTCCTGCTCTTGGTATCACACCACTGGCTGCCTCATTATATGACGTGCAAAGGGATTCCTTACGTTCTCAACATACAGTTAAAGCTTTGCACTGCTTTTACCATTGTAAAATGCAGAAGGGATCAGTTGAGTAGTTGGAATAGATGATCTTTAAGGGTCCCTTCCAACTCAAACCATTCTATGATTCCATGATTCCATAAAATGAAATATTAAGTGCTGGTTGTTAGCAGGTCTTTCTTCACAAGGGCAAGCTCCCTGCAGACATACAGGTGCAGGTTTTTCCACGTGGGCCCACACCAGTTCTTGGGAAGAGGGCAGTAATGCAGTCTCACCAGGCCTGGATTTCAGGAGAACATCTCCCTGGAGCACCAGCCCTTTGCACACTGGCATTCACTTTTGCAATCATTGGGATGTCTAGAACAAGTGAGAACAGGATTTACCTCCTGAAAAAGCAGGGGAATCAAACCAAATTATATACTGACTATTCATATGTCTCTGCATTGTCTCCAGGACAGTCTGAGACATAAAAATTAAATTTACTTTGCAGACCCCTCCAAACTACCCAGGACAGAAGGTACCTAAGTACCAGGGATAACAAAATAATGAAATTCCTGCATTATGTGCTTTCTCATCCAAACTTCTGTTCAAATTCCTACTGTTTAAAAACAGATACAAAGTGTTAAGTGCTACTCAGATGGTTTTATTTCACACTTATGGCTATATAATACAAATTATAACGTGTATTGTTCTAAAAGCAAATAAATGAAAAATAACCTGTTTAAAAAAGTTGTAATTCAGAAAAAACAAAAAGGCTCATCCTACAATACGGTAGTGAAATGATTTGCATCAAGTTGATAATACTGTTTGTTTTGACTTGTTCTCAACAACTTGTGGAAAATAAATTTTCAGTATTCCATCTCTTTCAGTCATTTATGCTCTTTTATTTCAGTCAGATGAGATAATGAATGCACTGTGCCTCGTGTTTCAATCCCTTTCTGCATTCTAATTCCCCTTCGCTAAAGAAAAAGTCTTACAACAGGTTTGGTGGGGCAGTGACACAGATTGCCCATAGAGGTGGTGGATGCCCATCCCTGGAGACACTCAAGGTCAGGCTGGACGGAGCTCTGAGCACCTGATGGAGCTGTAGGTGTCCCTGTTCATTGCAAGGGAGTTGGACCACATGGCCATTGGGGGTCCCTTCCAACTCTAACAATTCTATGATTCAATAATTCTAAAGTGGTCTGGTAAATTACATGAGAACATAAAGATGGATCATGATTGCCTTTATGAAGGCAATCTCAAGGGTATCTGTTCTAATCTTAAATTTAGTAAAATCTGCCTTATTCAAATCTGAGACTTAAATATAGTTACCAGCATTGTCTATGATTGCATTAGCACGCCCCAGTATACTGTAGAAGTGGCTCTGCAGAGCAAAGCTGGGAACAGTGAAATGCAGCATCAACATTGCTCATGCTGTGGGGGCTTACTTTGAAGTAGTCTTACTTGAAAATAGTCAGGTTGCTTATTAGCTGTTGGAGAAATCCATCTTCTGGCTTGGTTTCACATTCTAGGTGTGTTCTGAAACTAAAATGTAGCAATTGGTGACCATAGAGAGTTGCTTAAAAACATGCTGCTAATCCAAATCAAAGCACTAATGAGGGCACACCAGATGAAGTCCAATTCCTTATCACCTCATTGTTTCTGTTATCATGTTCTCAGGCACTGACCATCACAATCAAGATACAAAAGACCTACCCTTGAGGAGTACAGGTAGCTAAATGAATGTGCTTGATCATTCAAGATCCAAAGAGCTTTTCAGAAACACTCTGCAGTGAAGTCCCAAAAACTGCTGAAAAAGGAAGCTGTGGTTTTCTGTACATTTTTCATTAGATTGTTGGCTGGCTGTCCTCAAACAACTCACAACTCAGCTAGAAGAAACAGCTGCAACTACAGTTACCACAGTGCAGTTTTGACAATTGGCAGCAGCAGCAAGCTGGCTATTAATTTACAAAACTCTTTTCATCTTATACTTTTTCACTTTTCAAAGCAGCAGATTTCAGCTGCCCTGACCATCCTCACCATCTCCACTCTCACTGTCAACAAAGAACGGAGACCTGATTTTCATGGCCGAGAATTTGAGCGAGTACCACATCCCGTGCCACGTAGACCAAACAATGCCATTGTCATGGGATCCATTGTACCTTCCTGTTTTGTAGTAACGTCCATTGAGGTTTACAGCGTGGCACCTTGGAACAATGTAGGGGAGGGAAAAAGGAGATTATGTTTAGCCTGGGAAGGCGTTGTGTTATTATAACAAGGTACAACTTTCACACAACATACGTTTGGAAATACCATGGGTGGGATTCACTGACAGGTTCAGACACTAGACATCTCTGTGATAAACTAGATATCTGATATCCTACTACTACCTATGGAGAACTGGTTAATGCAGTCAGTGGAGCCAAGAGAAGTATGTGGGTCATCCTAAAGCAAACACCTACTCTGGTTGGATAACACAACCTGTTGGCTGCTTTGAATGTACTGACCAGGGTTATGATTCATTTCCCTGAACAGAGAGGTTTGTGGTATGCGTCGGCTCAGGAATAGGTAATATGCATTAACACCTAAAAATGCAGATGTCTTTTAATCAGGTTGAATCTAGCTATTGAAGTACACTTTTGTAGCTCCACTGACTTCAATTTGTATGCAATGGGGGCTTAGACTAAACAAAAAAGAGGTCTGCCTTGCACTAAAGTGTAGAAAAACTCCTGATGGTGGGATGTCTATGCTTCTGAGGCTGGTGAACCCTATTTGCTTTTTGGGGGCATACCCAAATGGAAAATAAATCACCAGGAAGAGTAAGGAATAGCTCATCCCCTTTACAAGTGCTATAAAAAACTTGTGCACACTTCCTCTTGCAGTGTCTATGACTATTTTCTTTCTTAAGATATAACCCAAAGCACTTGCAAGGAATTTTCAGTCAAGCTCTTCTTCCAAGTCATTCCCCCTATAGTTTTATTCTGGCCCATCTTCTTCAAATGAATGCAACTGACCTGCTTGGCTTCATAATGAAAGTAGCAGATTGTTTTCCTGTTGGTATGAACATGTCAGATTTAGCTGTGCGAGGTGGCATGTGCCAACAGCAACCTCCATCTGCTGCAAGGCAGGCAGGTCCTCTTGGCAGAACTGCCACCCACACCCTGTTCACACTTCCAAAAGCTGAGTAGCATCAACTGTTTTCCATACCTGTTAAACCACCAACCACCACTGCTCTCCAATGCACAGTTGCCTGCCAGGAATCGATCGTGATCCTTGTCAGATGTGGTGAACTGCATCCCTCTGTGAGAGGCTGACCACTGATCCTCAAAACTGCTCCCACCGGACAGAGCGTCACCAGCATTACCAGAGTAGGTGCCAAACCATAACCTGTAGTTGTCCTGCAACGGGATGTGAAATGTGTCTTTGATTTCAGCTCATATTTTTGAGATCAAATTTTCTCCGTCCACTGTACCCCCTGTCAGATAAGTGACTGTGGAAGTCACAGGTGACTTTTGGCCTTATGATTTACAGAATATCATCTGGAGACCATCTGGTCCCTGCTCAAGCAGGCTCCCTAGGGCATATTATGTAGACCTGTGTCCAGACAGCTTTTGAGTATCTCCAAGTAAGGAGACCCCACATACATTTTGGGCAACTTGTGCCAGTGCTCTGTCACCCATGCAGTAAGAAATTTTTCCTTGTGTACTGATGGAGCTTCCCATGTTTCAGTTTCTGTCCGCTGCCTCTCATCCTATCGCTAGGAACCACTGAGAAGAGTTCACCCCATCCTCCTGGCACCCTCCCTTCAGGTATTTATGCACATGGATAAGTTCCCTCCCAAGACTCCTCCAAGCTGAGCAGGCCCAGATCCCCCAGCCTTGCCTCATATGAGCAGTGCTCCAGTCTCTTCATCATTTTAGTAGCCCTTCTATTATACTAGCACTGACACAAAGGGCTTCAGGTTTTATTGATTTTCATGAATCATTTGATACACTATACAACAAGCTGGAAAGCTTTGCCTGGCTCATTGATCACAACACCTGTTGCAGGAAACTGTGCCAAACAAATGTTTTCATAAACTGGTCATGGTTCAACTAGAAAAGTCCTTAGCATTTTTCTCTCCTCTAAGACCTAGAAGTCATCTGATTTTTAGCCTAATGGACCTGTCCTCTTAGGAATTCTTGATAGAACTGTGTACAGCTAACAGTTCTGAGAGTCCAGCCTCTACATTGAGCAGTTTGCTGTCTAACGATAGAATGCAAACATGAAAGTACAGTGATCTGCCTGTCCTTGGTCTTTCTCTGCCCCTGGCACTTAGTAGAGGATTGATGCTGAAGGCTGACACTGTGTGGATAAAACAAGAAGTCATTGTTCTCTCCATTTCTTACCTGTTCATTGGTGAGCTGGAAGTTTTCATATACTGCATAACGTCTTTCCCCATGCCAGTCCATCAGGTCAATCTTTAATGAGTTCTCTCCTAAGCACAAAGTGGACTCCTGTTAGATGAACTATCTCAGGTGAATTGGAAAAATCAATGGAGGGAGAATACTTGCACCTCTAGCAAGCAGGTCATAGATGTGGTCGTTGCCCAGCCAGTATTCATCATTCTTGCCCTGGAACTTCCCAAATCCCAGTTTGTAATCATTCCACTTCCTGCAGTAACACAAATATGAATTTCAGCATATGGGGGCAACAAGTATCAGTTGGTGATACTTGCAGTTTCATATATAAAATAGCCTTGGATGAATAAAGTGATATAGTGAAGAATCTGAAAATGAGCAGAAGCTGCAAACAAAAGCTTCTGGATGAAGCTGGAAGGAAAATATCTGGATCTGCCTTGTGTTCCTGTTTCACTTAAACCTATTTTTAATTCACTGACCACTCTCACTTCTGTTTCTTTGCAAAGTCACTGCTTGTGGCAACTTGTCCTTTAAATATACGTACTTATTTTTCACCAGAATCCTGTAGCTTTGTTGTTCTTAAGATAAATCTTATGTTATTACATTCTTCTAATCATTTCAGTAACTTAAAACCTCCTGTTATTTCTGTGCTGTCTTTGATATTCACATATACTTCCTGTGTACTGATATTTCCAATTTAATTAACCCTGTCTTTATTCCCTCTCTCAGGTTGTTTGTGGGGATTTCAAATCTGCCTGAGCTACTTACTAGTCAATGCTACTCCTTAGGATGTTTTTCACTGACATAAATTCATCTTCGCTAAGAGTTGAATTACCATGGCTAGATAGCTACCCTCCTCTGGGTAGGCTAGCTTAGAGCCAGTTGATGCAGCTTTACAATGGGTTGCACTTGATTTAAGAGACATGCCCTAAAACTCTGTGTGCTATAATTAATCTTCATGGGGACATTTTTTTCCAGGTAAAATACTTTTTACCATAAGGGCCATCAAACACGGGAACTAAGGGGCATTTGGATAGTCCTGTTCACAATGCCCTTTAACTCTTGGTTAGCCTGGAGGTGGCCAGGCAGTCAGATGATCCTTATAGGCCCCTTCCAATTGAATTGCTTCATACAAATATGCATGCACATACACTCTCAAATGCAGACAACCATGGAAAAGGTATTATAAGTCCATCTTGAAAGTGGCCTCCTGTTACCAATATATACCCACACATCACCCTAACTCAAAGAGTTACCATCATTATTATGTTGTATATCCTGCTTCTCAATCCTTGAGTTTTGCCCCCTGGTGGGCACTGGGGGTCTCACTGAAGGTTCTGTTGATGGGACCTCAAGGCACCTACCTGTTGAAATTCTCTCTGCCATTACTCCGTCGCTGAATTACAGTCCATCCACCACCATCAGACATGTCGCAGTACACCAGGAAAGGCTCTTGGTCTGCCCTGGGCCTGACTCGGTAGTAGCCACTTTTGGTCTTCTTCCTATTATACACTGCAGAACAATCTGGGCAGAATGGAATTGGTTTGTTACATGAGGGAACGCAAAGGGGTATGTGTAGCTGAGAGAGGGCATCGCTGAGAGAAATAGGACAAGGACCCTTGACTGGCTTTGCAATGCCTGCAGAGCCAAAGCAGACAGGTCAGAAAGGTGTTAGCAATGCTGACTTCCAGAGCAGGGCTTTGGAGCCTTGGGAGTCATTCCCAAATATTCAGTGAGACGGGGACAGGTGCAGCTCAGGTGGGGCTACAACGTGTGGAATGTGGGAGCAGGGCTGGCTCTGTCAGCAGGTGCCGTGCAGAGACCAGGGAATGGCATGGGCAGTTGGCTGGGCCCAGCTTTCTGCATACTTCAGACTCCCAGAACAATGCAGATCCAGCTTCACTGCAAGTGGTACTAAATTTCCATGTGGAAACTTAACCTTGGCTGTACTTTGGACTGGATAAAGGCCTAAAAATTTCTAAAGCTAGAGGGTGAGTTTGCGTGATCGTCTCCAGCAGGGATTCATACTTTTAGTGTAATGCCCATCAAGGATAAAATCATGGCCACAGTCTATGATTCAAGTTATGACAGTATTATCAAAGTGACAGCAAGAGATGGAGCATGCCTGTGTATTACCACACAACAGAAGTGATGAAGAACAGGGATGCTGGTTTCTTTCAGACAGGTTGCAGTGCCTGCATCCCATCTTCTCCTCTAGCGCATGTCTAAAGCAGGTCCGATGGAAAAGAGCTGCAACATGCTTTTTCCTCTGCACCGGAGTCTCTGGGTGAAAACCCAGCTGCAGATAGCTGGGTGGTAGCTGCATGATGGCTGCCTAAAGCTGGGCCAGGTGAATCCAGCCCCAGGCAAGCCTTCTGGCACCAAGGCCACAGGGCCACATCTTGCCCTTCTCCTTCCATGTACCTGACTGCATGTTAAAACACAATCCACTTTACCATTTTAAAAGCTGAATAAATTTTTAGCAGGAATAAAATGTGATACAAGGGACACTGCAGGAAGTACTAAACTTTTCTGCAAGCTGACATTTCCACATATACTAATGCAAAATGTACCTTGGTCATAGACTATCAAATTTCCACTGGTTGTGGGTAAAAGAGCCTCATGCTGCATGCTCCTGTTGCCTGAGAAAAGCCCACTTTTTGTCCTATGATAAGTGTTCTCCAGGATGTCCTTCAGCTGCAGTTCATATAAGTAAAGCAGATCTTGAAGATGTTTTAACCTTTGCCTCAATTTATTGTTGTCTAGGAGGCAAATATCGTTTTCCTGTGGTGGGAGAAAAAGTAGATGAAAAGAAAGAACAAAAAACACATTTCAATCAGTGATAGGAACAGAGGGGCAGAGGGGGAATGAGTGCCTGTCTCCTCTTAACCCTAACACATTGCTCTGCCTCTATGGATCAAGATGATTCCATGGCAGTCCCTCTCTAAGCAGTACGAGTCCTGCAGCATGGGCTTTTGAGTTGAACCCAGTGAAAAGTGATTTCTTGCAATGGTCTTTCCACTGATCTGAGCATTGCAGAATATCATCAGATATGTGGAAAATTACTTTGGACAAAAGTCATTCAGCTCATTTAAGGAAATCAAAGGGAGTTTTGCAGACTATGAAACTGCTCAGGGTAATAAGAGCAGAAAATCCTTGCTCTTGCACTGCAGCCAGACTAAACCAGTGAGGTACAGAAACATCTTGTAAAACTGGAAGATAAAAGAGCTGAAAAGCAGTGGGCCTACTAGGATAAGTGGAGTAACTTCAGAGCTGCATTACTATAATCAAGACCACAATCTGTGGTCTTTAAGCAACAACTGTGGCTGTGACTTTAAGCAACAACCTAGGCTGTGGCTGATGTTACTCCATTAGTTACATCAACAGAACAGAGCAAATTATCTTTCAAGACAGCCAAGAAAAGGTGTGCATAAGAATCAGCTGTTGGTTTTGCTCTGAGCAAGCTGGTTGAAGCAACACCAGAGCAGGCCCAATTCTAGGCATGAGAGAAACAAGCAGGACAGCAGATTGCCTTGTGTGCCAACACATGCTTGCCCAGCCGCCTGCTTCTTTTCCTCCACTTGTTTGTTTTCCCCTGCAGAGGAGTGTTTCCAGGTTGGAGCCACACAGGAACTTGCTGTAGACAGCTCTGAGCTCTCCTCTGCCAAACTCTGTACCTCTTTGAGCTGGCCCAAGACTGATTTGCTCATCAGATGAAAACAGATTGCTTCAGACTATGTCTAGCTCCTCTTTCCCTGCTTCTTAAATTGCAATGAATAAAAAGAAGACCGTTTTCCCTGAGGAAATGGAATGGAGTATTTCTTTACTGGCTGTAAAACTGTAAAATCTTTTTTTTTTCTTCTTTTTTTTTTTTTTTCCCTTGAAAGGGCTTTTTTGTTGTTTGCAATTCTTAGCAATGTCAGTCCAGCCATGTGGAGGGTTGCCCAGCCCCTAATGCTGTGAAACTCTTGTTATCAGCAAGAGTAACCTTCCCTTAGATGTAAGCTCCTGCAGTCCCACGTTGTCTGCAGGGGACACCTATCTCTACGTGACTGGAAATGATAACTCACTGGCATATCACAGAGAGGCTGTATAGACACTGGTTGAGACATACGCACCGAAAACCTGGGTGCAGGTGAGCCAAAGTTGACCAGAAGGAGCAGCAGCCACCAGGACATCAACACACTCATCTCTTATCACCTGAAAAGAAGCATTGACAGACTGCACTGTTCCTTAAGTTGCTCTCACAGCTTACCCCTTCTCCCCTACATCACAATCACATTTAACTGCTCAGTAAGTGCTGTAGGTTTGGATATCTTTTCACAAAGAGTGGTGAGGCACTGGCACAGGCTGCCCAGGGAAGGTGGAATCACTGTCCTTGAAGGTGTTCAAGAAGCGTGTAGATGTGGCACTGAGGGACATGGTCAGTGGGCATGATGGGATGGGATGGGATGGTGGTTGGACTAGGTGATCTTAGTGGTCTTTTCCAACTGTAACGATTCTGTGATTCTGTTCTATTTGTTAAGGAGGTAACTTGAAGCCACAGACAGGACAGAATGGGAGAAAAGGTGCATGCGAGGGAGAAACTGAAACATCAGTGCAGTGTGCTGACATGGAGACCTAGGGTTTGGTCCAAGCTTCTGCACTGGAGGAACAAAGCCCCAGTGAGATGCTCCAGCAGCTTCTGCCCCCTCTCTCTAGCGCTCACGCACATGGGAAGTTACTCAGCATCTCTCCAGAGTGCTCCCTGTTAGAATAGATTGTCAAAACTACAGTCTGTGCAGTACTTACTTCCCAGAGATAACAGGAATTTTGCCTCCTGGTTCAGTGAGCATATGGATTGCCCTTCTGAGGTCCACAGAGCTGTCTATTAGTACGGGAGCTGCAGAGTGGGCACAGAGTGGGCATGGGATGGTTTTCAGTGGGGTTTTCAGTTTTTCACTGGGGAAGTGGCAAAAAAACCTCTGCTGCTGTTCTGCCCCAGCACACAGACAGGGCTTTGGGCTGAGGCTCAGCTAGAAAAAAACACATAAATAACCACCACTGGGAACATGCAGCTGAGTGCAAGCAAACGGTACAGATTGTTCATAGTGTGCCTGCATGGTGCACTTAAAAAAAAAAAAAAATCGTAAAAGAATAAAACAAAATCTGAAAAATGAGATAAAGTAACCCCCTCTTCACATCTGGATGTGCTGCAAAAAAGTTGGCTCACCAGATCTGCACTCCCAGGACTTGCTTTGCTTTAGCTGCGACTCTAGGAGCATCGCTGCAGCAGCTGCATATAGAGCTGGCAAAGCTGCTGTGACAGGGGAGCTGCCTGAAAGCCAGGGCCAAGGCAAGCCAAGAGAACTGCCCTGTGGAAGTCACCAATAAGAGACATGCAGGTGTGAGCTCTGGCATGTGGCATTTTTTCAGATGACAGAGAAAAGAGTTCAGAATTATAGAATGGTTCCCCCTGAGCCCAGGACTGCTGGTACTTCTCCTTCCCACTGCCCTGCAGCATGCTGCCATTCTGTCACTGAGGTCAGGATCAGGCCCGGTGCAGAGAATGTGTGTGGAAGCAAACAGCTAACAGGAAGGATGGATTGGAGCAATGACTACTGAAAAATAGATAGCGAAGTCTGGAGGGGAAAAAAAAGTGACTTTGTCTATGCCTTTATCAACATATATTAAATCCACATACCTGCAACTCGCCTTTCCTTCAGACCTCCTCCTGATATGAATATCTCCCTTGAAAGTCAACTGCAAAATAAAGTGATCATAATCCTGGCTTTCTTTCTGAAGGCTGAGTAGATTTTCCTTTCCAGATGGCCCACATCAAGGGCTCAGAAAAATGTTTCACTGCAACAGGCAGCTCCACACAAAACACATGCAGTTTTACACTAACCCTGATGTATCTGTTGTTACCCAATACTGCTCTTACCCTGCAGCCTGACAGTTAGAATAAGGAACAGTTATGTTTCTGTCAGTGGTGCTCTCCAAATGAGAGTGACCCTGCTGGTTGTGCACCATTACCCACCTTATCTGACCGTGGAGCTCAAACAAGACTGACTTGCTGAAGTGTTTATATTAATCACTCAGACTAATGCTCCCCATGGGAGTTTTATCTCATATTTAATATGGCCGGGCTCATTTCAGTAAGCCCCGCAAGGTGGAATGAATGCAGCCTTTGTGGTCGGTGTTTCTTTAGCTGTTTGATCTGGTTTATATGTAAAAAGCACAGTGCAGCCGTAATGCCGAAAGAGCTGAAAATTTGAACCAAGAAGTGAATGCAGGGGTGTTGAGCAAGATTTGATATTCAGCTGAAATCTCAGAGGATTTACAGTTGTGTAACTCCTTGGAGCTGGATGATCAGATTTGATAGTTAACACAAACAAGGACATTTGTGGAAGAGAGAAAAAAGCAAACAGATGAGTGCATCCAGTTGCATTATGGCCAAGGAATTAGAGATTATTTTAAATACAATAGCAGAAATGCTCCATTTTACAGGGCTGAGGTCAGAGGAGGGGCGGTGGGGCCAAAAGACAAGGTATATAAGTAAGCCCTTCATAAACTTTTCTATTACCCTTCACTAAACAGGACTTTACAGCTCTTACAAAGTACAGGAGTGATGTTTATTTCTTAAAAATTCAATTTGTCTTCTTCATCAGGAAGCTGACCCATCTCACCGCGAAAGGGTTATGTAAGCAGTGCTTTTCTCACCACTTATTCACTACCTTTGTTTTGAGGCAGGTTTTTGAGGCTGTTTTGGATGCCTCTGAGCACATGGGGTCTTTGTGCTGTTCCCTGGGGCCGTGTCATTCAGCTCTTCTCTTGCTTTTATCCACGCTGTCCCTTTCTCAGCTTGAGCAAGTCAGAAAGTGCTTGAGATGACACGCACCAAATTATGCTCTTGCCTACCTGGCCAGCATGCATGTCCCCTCAACCCATGGATATATCTTGTTCTGGATAGAGAAGCACAATGGACTCCAGTCAGCAGCAGCATCGTTAGAGCAGCATGGTCAGCCATAGGTGTTTGCAGCGTCCTATGGGGGCCATCAGACCCCACATCTTCAACTCCTGCTGGTCCCTGATAAGATGGGGCAGTGGGGCTGCAAATCTGGTGGGGGAAAAACTCCTGCATGTATGTTAAGTGACTGTCATTTTGCAGGAGCAGAACTCAAAGTCCAACCCTTCTTCAGGGACCCCCAAATGCCTTTCAGAGCCCAGAGGCCTGGAATGCCCATGTTCTGTTCAGGGCTCCAGTGGTGATAGGCTTGACAATGTCTGCATGTGAAAATCCCGGTCAGCTGCAACATGTTCCTAGCATACCTGTTTCATGATGAATTTATTTGCCCAGGCTAGAAGAAGAGTCAGGAATACCCGAAGTACTGGAGAGAGGTTGCCACGAGGTTGAGTTCCCATGAGGCAGCTCTAGCAAGGAGACATGTTCCTGCACTGCTTCACTGGCCCTGAGGTAAAACGACCAAGTCATCGTACAGAACGCGGACAGTGTGAGCAATAAGGCGTCCTCACAGATGCTGAAGTCTCTAGGCAATGGGACTGTACAATTTTTTTTTTTTTTTTTGTCTGAAATACACGTGCTTCACACACATACTACAGTGCAAATTCCTGTTTAGTTACTTGGAAGGAGACCAAGTTCCCTCTTCATAAGAACTCAGTGATCTTGTCAGCAAATAATAGCCATTTCATTAACTAAAAACTTCCCCACCCTGCTTTCTTCTTCCCTGCTTCCAGCAAAAGTACGTAGGTGCTGAATAACAGTCATAAAAAAACTACTATTCATACATTAAATGCACAGCCAGCACAGCAAGAATGTGAAGCAGTGGATAAAAGTGAACAGAGGAGCTCTGGGACAACTCTGGATATTCCTGCAGCTGTGGTGTGCTGGGCTCCCCCAGAGCTGCTCAGCATGAAGACATGAAGATGACACCCGAAGGACATTCACCTCCCCCTAGGCATGAATAGAACATCATTGCTGCTGGAAGACAGAGGTGGCATCCCCAAACTCTCAGGACAAGTTTTTCTCCCAAACAAATTCCTGGCTGTTTGTTCTTAAAGCAGTAAGGAAGAAATGAGCCAGCTGCTCCAAGGCTTCAAAGGAGTTACAGCCTTGAGGTTTTCACAGCAAGACTCTGGCTACCTACCCGCACCCTAGGAAAATTCAGAGTAGTCCAGAGCCAGCTCCAAGCAAAACAGCTCATTTGCACTGAACCCAGGTGCTTTATGCATTTGCCATTATTTCTGTGCCTCTCCATCACTTCCCACCTTCCATGAACATCTTGCCTACTGGAAGAGACAACAAACCAGCTTTCTTTGTAGGCACTGCAGGTGTGGAGGCAGCAGCGGCCTGCAGGCTCTCAGTGAGCCAGATGCTATGCATTTTCTGGAGGAATGTGGGCTGCTAGGGTTGTTTTTTTTTTTTTGAACAAAGTTAATTTATGAGGTCTGAAACAGGTTTTTGTTTGTTTGTTTGTTTGTTTTTTAAATCTAACAATAAAGGACTTCAACAAAAGTATGATAAATTTAAAACATTGTGATGACATCAGCCACTGTAGTTTCAATCTATGAAATAACCGAAACCAGGACATACGTATTAAAAGTTTGTGGTTTGTTAGCAAGGAATAACCACAGAAATCTATGCACAAAGGAGTAATGGTGGCAGACCTTGAAACATGCCAGATCTGAATGTTTTGATAACGTTCAAAGAGCAAAGACATAATTCAGTCTAAGAAGCCTATATGCAGCCTATGAGTATCTAATGGGTTGATACAACAAACATAATTAGTTCCTAAGCCCCTGAGGGCAAGCACAGGTCTGAGCCCATCTCATTTACATCAGGAATAGCTGTACAAAAGCGAATTAGTCACAAGGCCAGAGGGAACATGTGGATAATCTGTGTGATCTCCTACCTACCTCAGGTCAGAGAACTCCCCTGACCTAATTCATTCCTATTTGAATGGAAGCATCTCTTTGAGAAAAAGATATTTTGTTGTAAAATATTCGGTGTTGAACAACAAACCACAGACCTTTGCATGATCTTTCACTGCTTAATTACTCTCATTGTTTATTATTATTGTTATTATTATTTGCCCTGAGTCAGAATCTGCCGAGGCCCATTCTCCAGCCTTTTATTCTCATGATGCCTTACTCTGTGAGCCCTCTTCTGCCAAATTTGTTTTTCTCTGCTTAAAGCCAAGCAACTATGAGCTCTTGCCTGCCTCCAATTGGGAAAAGCAAGAGCAAGTTCTACTCCTAGGCGGATTCCATTCAGAGTTGCTTAATGCAGAACACATACACAAAGCCGCAAAGAGTTGGCTGGTGTATGTTGGACTCAGAGGCTTTACTGAGTGGGTAACGAGTACTCCTCTGCCT